TAAAAAATTTAAATATTAAAAAAATTAGTAAAAATCTTCGCAGGCAAATTTGCCTGTGTTACAATTTAAGAGATAGCATTTTAGATATTACAACCATTATTAAGAGAACTAAAAAATTATTTATATGGGGTAGAAGGTGTTTTACCAATGACCTTCTTTAGATATTTTAGAGGTGTTTCAAAATTTTCAGATTCTTCAACATTAATTTGATCTATGATCTTTTGAATTTTTTCTATCACTTTCAAGTTCATTTGAAAAATGTCCTAAAAATTTAATCAAATCAATGAAGAAAATAATTGTATTGTAAAAATAATATTTATTACTACTGATATTAACCTCAATTTGTAAAAATATCTCTAATGCGCTTGCCATATCATGATTTATGTTTGAGATCAGAATTGAAATGAGATAAGAATTTAGATATGTAATGAAATGAATCTTGGTTTCTTCACATATTTGGTATATCATTAAATTAAGCTTTCTATCTAAAATTAATAATAATATTATAATATATTCAACTAAAACAAATTTACTGAGTTACATACCAGATGAAAATAGCCCAATCCATTGAAACTTACAAAACAATTTCTTTAATTCTTTAGTAACCTTTTTATATTTTTTGGCCTAGTATAAAATAAAGCTATTTGCAGTATCATTAAGCATTCTGCATAGTTTATTGTAATCACCGCCTTGATGTTTGTTTAGACATTTTGCTTCACATATTAGGAGGTATAATTTTATACCAGTCTCTGGAGAGTATGTTATAGCTGTGTCATCTTTTCGGCTATACACACGAAAAAGTGTAACACCTTGTTCATTGGCCGTATCAAAAGATAATAATTTGTGTTTATTATTTGGAATATAGATAGAATCATTTCTATTATTCTGAATAATAACTACTGTTTCTAGAACAGAATCGTTAGCATCAAAATGTTCATCTTCGGGCTTCTCAAATAAATTTACTACTTCCTTCAGATTCTTTGGCTATTCTGTAAAAGGAGGACGATGATATAGTTTTTTTCCTCATAAGAATATTGAGTTGGATGTTCTGGACTAATATATTAGATTTATAAATAAAAATTTATATGTTATTATATTCAACAATATTTT